CTTCTGCCAAACCAGAAACATGTTTTAAAAACCTGTTCTCTGGTTTCTTGTTGTAACCCTTGTCATAATTGCCAGACTCTACCCTCTGCTCACTTGCTACAACTACAACTGAATCCTTGAAATCATCAATAGTAGAAAAGTTATACAAAATATCAGTGCACATATACACGTTGTACATACCTATCTCATTGTTTGAGACCAAGTAATGAGAAAGCAGTTGATTTAATGAACATTAATTATTCAATTATTCATTCAAGAAACTGTAATGAGGTCAAGTTTGTACAGAGGTTACCATGAGGCAGAGTTGAAATAAATACTCCAAGAACAGGATGTCAATTTCTAAAAAATGGAGCTTAATTTAACTGATATATTTTGCACACTTACTAGGTCCCCATGCAAGCCAAGCCAAGGGAAGGGAGGAGCTTCTTTGAGGACCCGGTCACTTCAGGGAGTAATGCACACAGCTCCAGACCATAATTCATGCATTCATAAACACCAGTTCCCAGAGCCACACCCTAAACCTTTTGAGATCCGACTTCCAAGCATGTAAACTCTAAGTGAAGGTTTGGGGCCTCAATCTGCTGTCCTGGAGATCTCATTCACATCTGATGTCTCTTTTTACCCAGAAGACCTCACGCCTTGTGTCTCCTAATCACCTCTCATCGGACCATTCACAACTTCCTTTTCTTTGCCTCCCAGAACAGCCCTTAGTCCAGCTGTGGGGGCACTCTTTCCAAAGTCCACCCTCTCATTATCCGAGATGGTTCTAGAATTCACTAAATTCATTTGTTGTTTCTAGGTACTTAATTTCACCTGCTCATATTTCTCAATAAAATTTGAAACACACATACTTTATTCTTGAACCTCCACTTTTTTATTGATTTGTCAATTAATTCAAACGTATTTACAAAGCAATGTCATTTGCTTTGTTTCCAGAACCTGCACATAACAGTCCAGTAGAAAGCATAGATATTAAGCAATCAAACATATAAACATAAGCTGCTTCTATACTAATTGCAAAGAAGCTGTACCAAGGCGATGGTCACTCTTACGTGATATAAGAATGAAGTATAAGTTGAACCTGGAAATCAGGCAGGTGCTAGACAATCACACACCACATACCTGAGACCAAAGTCTTTTCTTTCCCTTTATTCTAAAGGTCTGTGAGTTTTTTAAATTGCTAGCTTCTTAACTGGTCGTCTCAGGGTTACTCTTTGACATTACTTGCGGTCACTAGTATGGTGAAAAGATCCAGACTTACCACAGTGGAAGCAGACCTGGTAGTATGGTATATCAACAACCCAGGAGAAGGAAAACAGTCGCTTAGTTAAGTTACCAAAATGGAGAGAAGGGGTGTTACTTGAGATATTTTAGATGAAAAATCAGGAGACCTTGGTGATGGATCAAAACTGAAAGAGTAAGAAGAAAAAGAGTCATAATGCTTGCTGGGCTTCTGTCTTACACAAATAGATAGATGGCTGTCTTCATCCACATCTGCCCAGTGGTGATGATGGGAACATGAGTTTTGAACCCACTGAATTCAAATTATATTTGCAAATTCTAAGCTATCAAGGAAACTTGTAAATGTAGAGGTCTGGTGTTTGGGAAAAGGCTGACTCTGGATGCAGTTCCTACAGGTTGGTATTGTGTGAGATCACTTTTAGAAGAAACTATGAGTGAGAACCAAGCCTTAGAGGACACATTGGATGACTGGTTAAGGGAAAATATAGGAGCAGATAAACAAAAAGCTAATAGCTAGAAAGCTCAGAAGGAAAATGTTCATGTTTGGGGACCTGGGGGAAGGGTTCAGGAGATAAAATGGTGACGACACAAACATGAGGGTCTAAGTTCCATCCCTAGCAACCACACGAGATCATAGTGTGGTGGCCCATCTCTGTAACCCCTGTGCTGGGGACGGTGCGGGGAGCTCCCAGCCAGCCAATAGAGTAAACAAGCAAGTTCCAGCTCACGGAGAGATCCTGCCTCAAAAACAAAGAGAAGGGCAGTAAGAGAAGAAAGTGGATGTGGATCTCTGGCCTCCCTCTCAACACATGCAACCTGCACACATACACTGAAGTTAACACACACACACACACACACACACACACACACACACACACACACACACACACACTGAGGGGGGATAGCTCTGTTCTCATGTTTCTCTGATCTTCTGGACTCCTCCAGAAGCCTTTTGTGCTGAAGGCCTGACTATGATTTGAATTACACGGAACAGAACTGGCTCAAGCACTTCTTTGCAGCAGCTTTTCTGTCTTCTGTGTTGACTTTTTTCTAAGCAAATGTAAGGAGGAGTTCCCCCTCAGGTACCATCTTCTGCCTTTCTCTCTAGGCCCTCTTTAGACAGTTTCTTCCACTGAGCAATTTCATTAGCGCGTTTCAACTGACAGTCTTCTAATACCTCTCTGTTGCAGATGGTCATTCAACATGACTGTTGGCTTACACCACACCTGAATGACAGCCATGAAGCCTAAAATATTTTCATTGTTTATTATGAAGTAAGAGTGTGTTGCTAGAGTTTTCCTGCCTGGCCCACAGTCAGGACAAATCTCTCTCACCCGCCAGTCCCAAGCCGCTCAAACCCGATCAAGTAAACACAGACACTTATATTGGTTACAAACTGTATGGCCGTGGCAGGCTTCTTGCTAACTGTTCTTACAGCTTAAATTAATCCATTTTTATTAATCTATACCTTGCCACGTGGCTTGTGGCTTACCGGTACTTTACATCTTTCTTATCCTGATGGCGGCTGGCAGTGTCTCCCCCTCAGCCTTCCACTTCCCAGCTCTATTCTCCTCCTTGTCCCGCCTATACTTCCTGCCTAGCCAATGGCCAATCAGTGATTTATTTATTGACCAATCAGCAACACATTTGACATACAGACCATCCCACAGTACTTCCCCTTTTCTTTTCTTAAAAAGGAAGGTTTTAACCTTTACACATCTCCAAAGTCAGCTTGGTGTATTTGGGAATTTGGGCGTAGCTTTTCTTACTACTTCCTGCTGGAGGGGGGCGCTGTATCTTCTGGGGAAACAAAGAAAATTTTAGGATCATGGAGTAGTCCGTGAGGCTGTATCATCTGAGCCAGTTGCCTTGAAACGGTTTTGGATGTTGGATCATCTGGACCATGGTGTCATCGGAGACCTTTCAGGGGGTCTTGGCTGGTCAAACCTGATGTATCTTACTCTGGAACAAATCCATAGCCTCTTGCTTTCTGTGGAAACAAAAGAGACTCTTTTTCAAAGCAACATATCCTTACATCCAAATTTTGAAGTCAAAGTATCTTTAAAATATACATACTGGTTTAACTCAGCTTCCTTTACAATCAAATATCTCTCTGTAGTTAAGAATCCCAAAGACAACACAATCCAGACTCTCTGTGTAATAGTCATCTCTACGTGGCTTATTTTTTATATTAATTTTACTGTCTCTTTAAAGACTTTATTTTTTAAAACCATGTATTTGTTTCTATACTGTATATATCACCTTTTTTTTTGTCTCTTTCAAGCCTACGTATATTTTACACACATTTTAAACTATTACATCTGAATCTGTCTTATTGTGAGTCTATTGCTTTAAGCTGCATCAGCTGTGGCTGCTGGCTCCGCCCACCTCAGTTTCCCAACATGGCGGCGGTACTGTAGTTTTCCGCCAGCTCTATCGTGGGTCTATGCTTTTATCCAAGCAGCGTGTAGCCCAGAAACCTCTTTTTTTGTTTTGTACTAGCAAAGGCTAAATCCACAATGCAGGTTAATGTGCCACTTGCAGAGGCCTCATTCCCGCCATATGGCGGCAGGTCGAGCGAGCACGCCAGCAACCCGCCAGTAGCTCAAACCGGCAGCTGCCGCTCATTTGAGAGAGACAATTAGGAAGCTGTTTTTAGCTCCGTTTTAGAGTCTTTTTTCTCAGGTTTTAGGTGGAAACTCTTGCCACCACGTTGGACGCCATTTGTTGCTAGAGTTTTCCTGCCTGGCCCACAGTCAGGACAAATCTCTCTCACCCACCAGTCCCAAGCCGCTCAAACCCGATCAAGTAAACACAGACACTTATATTGGTTACAAACTGTATGGCCGTGGCAGGCTTCTTGCTAACTGTTCTTACAGCTTAAATTAATCCATTTTTATTAATCTATACCTTGCCACGTGGCTTGTGGCTTACCGGTACTTTACATCTTTCTTATCCTGATGGCGGCTGGCAGTGTCTCCCCCTCAGCCTTCCACTTCCCAGCTCTATTCTCCTCCTTGTCCCGCCTATACTTCCTGCCTAGCCAATGGCCAATCAGTGATTTATTTATTGACCAATCAGCAACACATTTGACATACAGACCATCCCACAGTAGAGTGTTTTCAACTATCGAAATAGCTTGAAAGGGTATAAAATTAAACATTTCCTTGTCCTACATGAAGATTTATGTGAAAAATTCCAGACAAGTTTTGGGCATCTATAGATATGTATCCATAACATAGTTTTCATTTCCATCTTGTCTCAGTTACCACATTTACTATGACTTCAACATCTTCCTCTATTGGCACCTAGATATATCTCCTAGTTTTTTCATTATGCAAATGTCCAACAGTTTACTCTGCCAACTCTGTTGTGATTGGCATGTAAGTTGTTGCAATTTTTCACTATTCTATCAGCAATGCAGCAAATATTCTCACATGTGATTCATAATCTCTTGAATTGCTATACCTGCGGCTGAGTTCAGAGCCTGAAAATTGCTGCATCAGGGGCTGGAAAGACAGCCCAGGGCTTCAGAGTTCATGTTTCTGTAGCAGAGGGCCTCAGTTTGGTTCTCAGCACTCACATCAAGCAGTTTCATGGGGATCTGACACTTTGGCTTCTGTGCACATTCACACACATACACACACACACACACACACACACACACACACACACACACACACACACACACACACAATTAAAATATATCTTGAAAGCTTGTTGCCACAAAGTGCTTATGCACTTTTAATTTTTGTTAGACTTTGTCAAGTTGCCAGCCCAGCACATTAAGCCAACACAAATTCTCACTTGCAGAGAGGTGCTATCCGGGTTTCCTATCCTCTTCCTCAAAAGGTATTGTCTAATGTTTTGATGTCAAAGGCTCCTGTGACTGGTGAAACACTTTTTGTTTGTTTTGTTGTCGGTGTTATTCTTATGTTTCTGACTGAGGTCAACCATCTTCCCGTCTGCCTGTTAGTCATTGCACATCTGTTCAGTGGCCGCTCTAGTTACAGCCCCTGCTATGTCTGGGTCATGGACTTTCTTACTGGTTCGCACGTGCTCATTTTGTGTTATGGAAACCTGACCCTTGTATTTTACACGTTGAAATGGTCTTGCCCTAATTTACCACTTTTCTTCTGTGCTAATGTTTACTTTCCATATAGACTTTCAACTTCCATGTTGGCAAAAGTCACCAGCCTTTTATTTTATGTGTTCCGGGTTGGCACGGGTAGTACTCAATTCAAAGTACTTCAAGTACTTAAACCTTCACTCAGTTGCTTTAATCCTACAACAGGCATCTTTTTTATTTTTTTAAAAAAACCTTTATTAATTCTTTGAGAATTTTGTATGTTTTGAACATATTCACCCCTCCCCCAACTCCTCCTCGATCCAGCCCACTTCCCTACCCACCTAACTTTGTATCCTCTTTTTTGTATGTCTTTGTACCCGTCAGGTCCAAATTTGTGCTGCCCATGTGGATTGCAGCAACTTAGCAGGGGCTGCCCAGGAAAAGAAACCCGGCTCTGCCTCCAGCGGCTCTCAGTTGCCCAGAGCTCCTCAGACAGGGGTGGGACCTCAATGTCACCTCCCTCCCCACGCCGGGACTCAGTCTGGCTTGAGCTTCCAGGGATTATAGAGTAGGCTTCTCTTTCAGCAAAACCTTCACTCTATTGGAGATTTCTCTGGTATAAGGAGTACGCTAACTTCCTTCCAAGAGCCTAGTCATGTTCCTCAGCATTAACAAGTTGTCTTTTTTTAGACAGGAGATCATTTCTTAATACACACATGCACAAGCACACATAGACACATGTATGCACTTAGGGGTCTGCTTACAATGTTGAGTTTCTCTGCACAAAAGCAAAGTTTTTTTTTTTTAATCCATGTTGTCTCCATATCCCTGAGGAAATTTTCAAGTTCCATCACATGAGCTCTGCATTCTTCTTAGCTTCACTATGAAGTACTTTACATTTACAGTTGGTACTTTGAGTGGCATGTGTTTCTTTCATTATACACTGCATCTAATAACTGAATTATTTTTCCTTCACTTGAATAAAATAATGTGACACTAAGAATGTTGCTTTTATGATACAAAACTTTTAGTTTGGTGACTATCCAATTTATTTGCATTCCAGCTTTTCATTTTAAAATGAGGAGTAACATCAAAGTTTTCTAGTTCTGTTTTCGCTCTTTCTCAGCTGTCGATAATCTCTGAGTGAGAGCTTGCTTTTCTTTGACATTCTCATCCAAGGAGCCCCACGAGCTCATGTGTCTTGTGAATTCTTTTTCAGTCAATGTACCAGGGATGATAAGTATCATTATTCTTTTGATACTTCTTGCATCAAAGACACTTAGGCTATTATTATGCAGCAAAAGTCTGTTATTAAAAGATACAAAGTATAGCACTTGGAATTAAAGTAACATGCTACCTTCAACTTATATTCAAATCTTTTAACAAAATCAAAACAAGAAATATATATGTGGAGAAATAGACAGGAAGACTAACATGACAAAATGTTAATATACTTTAAATCAATTATCTTCCTTTTGCATCTAATTTCTAAAGAAAGAAAGTTTTCCTCCCAAACCCTCAATTCCCCAATCCTCTACTCCCATGTAGCCTCCACTTGGATGATCTACTTCAACTCCATCATGTCTCCAGCATCCTTTCCTAGCTCAGGCTCATTGCCTTAACTATTATGATTGCTTCCAGAGTGGCTCCCTAGCGTCTCTTTTCTAACTGTTCCTCACAAAGCTTACTGGACAAACTCATAACACATAATGTTGACAGGCTAATACCTTACAGTGGATCTCTGTGCCGTAGAACATCATACTCATTCCTCATCAGGGCCATCAGAACCCTTCATAGTCAGTCCCTGCTCTGTCCCTCACCAATCTCTCACAATTAACGGCTTGAGAAATAAAAATTCCTTTCTGCCTTTGTTCTCCATTTGTGGTGAGCATGGTCATCATGGAAAATCCCAAATCTCCCTTGTAGATTTCTTCATCTAGCTTCCTTAATATGGAAATTATTATCCTAAAAGGGAAATTTAAGGTCTAGACAAATTGCCATCATCTTTGTGATGAGAACCTTTTAAAATTTGTTTTTATTGTTTGATAATTTCATACATGCTTATAACATGTTTTCATCAAATCCACATCTGTTCCCTCCCCTCCAGTTCCTCTTCTATTCCTCCCACCATTCATCCCTCCTAACTTCTTGTGTGTTGTTTTGTTTTTCAATTTTTATTTTTATTTTGCAATACAATTCAGTTCTACATATCAGCCACGGATTCCCTTGTTCTCCCCTCTATGGCCTCCCTCACCTTCCCCCCAGCCCACCCCCCATTCCCACCTCCTCCAGGGCAAAGCCTTCCCCGCGGACTGAGATCAACCTGGTAGACTCAGTCCAGGTAGGTCCAGTCTCCTCCTCCCAGGCCGAGCCAAGCGATCCTGCATAGGCCCCAGGTTTCAAACAGCCGACTCATGCAATGAGCACAGGACCTGGTCCCACTGCCTGGATGCCTCCCAAACAGATCAAGCCAATCAACTGTCTCACCCATTCAGAGGGCCTGATCCAGTTGGTGACCCCTCAGCTATTGGTTCATAGTTCATGTGTTTCCATTTGTTTGGCTATTTGTCCCTGTGCTTTATCCAACCTTGGTCTCAACAATTCTTGCTCATATAAACCCTCCTCATTCTCACTAATTGAACTCCCAGAGATCCACCCGAGGCCTAGCCATGGATCTCTGCATCCAGATACCTCAGTAGTTGGATGGGGTTTCTAGCATGACAATTAGGGTGTTTGGCCATCCCATCACCAGAGTAGGTCAGTTCGGGATGTATCTCGACCATTGCCAGCAGTCTGTTGTGGGGGTATCCTTGTGGATTTCTGTGGGCCTCTCTAGCACTTTGCTTCTTCCTATTCTCATGTGGTCTTCATTTACCATGGTCTCCTATTCCTTGTTCTCCCTCTCTGTTGTTGATCCACATGATCATCTCACTAGACACAGAAAAGGCATTTGACAAAATCCAACACCCCTTCATGATAAAGGTCTTGGAGCAATCAGGAATACAAGGAACATACCTAAACATAATAAAGGCAATTTACAGCAAGCCAACAGCCAACATCAAATTAAATGGAGAGAAACTCAAAGCAATTCCACTAAAATCAGGAACGAGGCAAGGCTGTCCACTCTCTCCATATTTATTCAATATAGTACTTGAAGTTCTAGCCAGAGCAATAAGACAACATAAGGAGATTAAGGGGATACAAATTGGAAAGGAAGAAGTCAAGCTTTCCCTATTTGCAGATGACATGATAGTATACTTGAGCAACCCCAAAGATTCCACCAAGGAACTGATACAGCTTATAAACACCTTCAGCAACATAGCAGGATACAAGATCAACTCAAAAAAATTCAGTAGCCCTCCTATATACAATGGACAAAGAAGCTGAGAAGGAAATCAGAGATACATCACCTTTTACAATAGCCACAAATGACATAAAATACCTTGGGGTAACACTGACCAAGCAAGTGTTTTGTTTTTTAATCCACTGAGTCTGCTTGGAGCTGCCTGTGTGTTCTTGAATATAAGACTCTCTACTTGAGCATAGATAACCTCCCTGAGACTGTATCCCTGGAGAAAACAGATTCTTCCTCCCCCAGCAGCCATCAATTGCCAATAGGTCCTCAGCTAGGGGTGGGGTTTTTGGAGCCCCTCCCCTGTCCCTGCTGGGATTTTTGGCTGGCTTGATCATGTTCAGGTCTTATGCGTACAGCCATAGCTACTGTGAGTTGATGTGTACAACAGCCCTGGAATATCTGGAATATCTGGAAGATATTGTTTCGCTACAGACATCTACTACTTCTAGACCTTACAATGTTTCCACTTCTTTTTCCGTGATAATTTCTGTGCCTTGGTGAGGGGGGGTCTCTGCAGGTGTCAGACAGAGAAGTGAGCAGCAAGAAGATGAGAATGAAAACTCGGGTCAGATTGACTTCAAGAACCTGGATCAAGACTTCTAAAGAGTCTGATATCAGGAGGTTTATTCCCAACACATTTAATCCCAGTATAATTTTGGGGAAAAAATCCTGGGATAATACAATCCTTAGTGCACAAGGAAGTGTATTCACTCAACTCAGGGTGCATGTCATTCCTTCCAAGAAGATGGGTTCTAGAGATAGGCTACCTGTGCTAGCTTAAGGGCCTAAGGGTCTGCTCTGGTCTTGGTCCTCCAGACAGCATAGAGGTCATTGGGCTATTAGCCACTCCTGGTCCTAGTTGTGGGACCTTGGGGAACCCCTGACTCTAAGGGTCAGTTAGGTTTCTAACCACCTCCGGTCTTGGTTGTAAGAGCTTGATATGGCCTGGCCCAACAAATAGCTCAGATCATCAGGCTGTTAATCACTTCCAATTCTCAGCTTTCTGGATAGAAGAACACATTTTTCATCTTTCCCATTGGTAAGACAATCCTGTGAGCTTAACATTCATTGTTTGTCTGGAAGCCTGTGAGCACAAAGACCTTCATGCTGTGCTCCCAACAATGTGGGAAGAGGAGTGTGATATAGATGTCCTATTTAGATATGACTGCTCCATAGTCTCTTATTCTCCACACATGACCAATTCTGGGCCTCTGTGCTAATGGCCATCTACTGCAAAAGGAAGCTACTTTGATGAGGGCTGAGAGATGCACTAATATATAGGTATAAAGGTAAGAACTTAGGGGGACAGTTTATTACTATGGCCATTTTGCAGAATAAAAGGATTAGGTTTTATGACTTATGGACTTTGCAAGTCACAGGTTGTTGGTTCATGCCAACATGAGCTCCATGTTATGGAGCAGATTTTAA